AGAAGGCAAGGCCGCACAGAAGATGTTTGGTTTACGGAAAAAAGAGCCAAATGAGAGATACGCAGTACTGGTGTGGTGAATGTGAGACAGCGCTGTGTATAGTAGAATGCTTCAATGCGTACCATACTCCGCTCAAATTCTGCCACTTGCTTCCTTTGCCGAGATACCGGGCGCTCATATTATAAGGCAAGGTTATAAAACCATCTTTTAAGATCATTTTAGTGAAAGTTTCATGCTTCAAGGCGTACCATTCACTGCTCAAATTCTAAACAAACTGCTTCCATTGCCGAGATACCGGGAGCTCATAAGGTAAGGTTATAAAACCACCTTTTAAGATCATTTTAGTGAAAGTTTCATGTTCCTATCTCATAGAATTTAAGAACAATGATGAATAAATCATTTTCGAGCAAAATTTAAATGGCCGGCTGAATATATTACCGCCGGAGAGACGGCCGCGGAATTTAAATGACCGCGCAAAAGGGTTAACAACCTACAAGTTGTAACACTGTTATGGGTTTACACACTTTACAACCCTACACAATAGTCTCTTCACTCTATCTTCAGTAGGCTTCATGTATTTGTAATGTGGGAGTTATACAAGTGTCACTGAATTACACACTCCCAATACCTTCTCAGTTATCACAAACTATCACTGGTTATCACACACAAACTCTTCTGATCACACGTTCAGTTCTTCTTCCACGGCTACTAGACTTCCACTGTCTTCCATCTGGCTTCACAATTCACACTCTGTCACTCCTAATCACACACACTGGCTCACACACTGCTCAGCCGGCCTTTTATACCATTCCTTGTTGCCCTGTCTTAACAGTGGTGTCCACTGGCCTGTCACTGTAGCAGCGGCAGTGGCTCCTATGCTGTTATGCCACCGCGACAGTGGTTGTCTGACACAGCTGCTCTGCTGTTACATCACCTGGGGGGGGGTTACCGAGTGTTGCATAATGATGGAAGGAGTGGGGGTATGTGACATCACTCGTGAGACCGCAGAGTTCACGTGACCCCTACTTCCTGTTGCGCCATCCACGTCACAATATTATTATTCAGATATATGTCATGATATATTTGATTGCTGATGTCATTATAGGTGTAACTCATTAGCATATGTTACATATTTTTAATGTGGATTGAAATGCAACAGGGATATAAACATTGCATTAATGTAGTGTAGTATTAACAGTGTTGAAACAAAATTGTATTGACATAATCTGCTTTCAGTACCTTATGAGATTGTCAGCTGTTGAGGTATGTCTATGGGTTCCTGTTAACTTCAAAACATTGACAGACAAATGCAGTGTACCTAGAAGGCATTCTTCATGCTATGCATAAGTGCACATGGAATGTTAAGTCAGGCTCCTTTTCATGCTATTGAATTTGGCATGAGTATTTATTCCTCTTTTTTTTTTTTTTTTTTACCTTCTCTCTTAATTTCAGTTAGCAGACATAAAAAGGTTACTGCCACGCCTGAAATCTATGAGTTTCAAGCTCCATTATGCTGAAATGGTTCAGGACATCAAACCCGTAAGTATTCCTTGACAGTGAAGTTTGATCAAAAATTGAATGGTTACATTATAAACCAAAATCTGTGTGTCATCCCACAATTCCAAATTACGTTTAATTTCATCAAGATAGCAAGTTAAATATTAGCAAAAATACACCATATGGTATTTATTTATTTATGATTTATTTAATGACACTTTCAGCAGCTCATACTGCGTAATGTTTACTGATAGGATGGTATTGAATAATAAACTGGAAAGTTGTGGAAGGAATTGGTTGTGATCTAATTTTATGGTGCTGTCCTGTAATTTGCTTAGCTGAGTGGGGGTGGAGTCCAGCTGGGTCCACTCGGCATGTCAGCCACTGGTTGGCCTATTGTACCTGCCCCGGGTGATCATGATGATGGAGAATTTGGGGGAATGGAGACCGGTATGGGAAACTGAAGTACTCGGAGAAAACCTGCCCCAGTGTCACTCTGTNTTTCAGTTGACCTAATCCTTCCAGCTGCACTATGGCCCTCGGGTTGACTCAGCCTCTAACAGAAATGAGTACCAGGAATTAATTGAATAATTTTCCTGGGGAGTAAAGCGCGGCCGGCGCGTAAGGCTGACAACCTTACCGCCATCTGTGAGCCAATTGTCCAGATAATATGGGACCCTCATTGTCTCACAACCCTATGGGCCTTCATGGCCTGGTACAGGGATAGCTTTACGTACTTTTACCTGCCCTGGATGATAATGATGATTGAGAATTTGGTGGAATGATTGTAAGGGGAAACCAAAGTACTCAAAGAAAACCTACCCAAATGCCACTTTGTCTATCACAAATCCCACTTGACCAGACATGGGCTCAAAACCAGGCCGCTGTGGTGGGAAGCCAGTGATTAACTGCTTGAGGTATGGCACAGACTTTGCTGTCCTGTAATTTTCCTGGAAGGGCTAAGGAATTGAATTGAATTGAATTGAATTTATTTACATTCTATAAATCCTAAGTAGGTTAGTACCTTTGGATACAGAACAAGTCAAAAGGTTACATACATAAGTACAGGCAATTTTAGCTTAAAAATTAATATAACTTAATTTTACATCATTCTCTATTTACATTGAAGTATTCGTCTAAAGAGTAGAAGGAATGAGCATGTAGATAATTCTTTAACTCTGATTTAAACTTTTTAGTATCATTGCCCAAGTTTTTAATACTTTGTGGCAGATTGTTGAACACAAAAGGTCCCGAAATAGTCAGTGTCCTGAGTGAGATTTGTACCAGGCATTTCCCAAATACAAGTCAGAAACGTTATTGCCTGAGCCAACTTGCTTGTTTGCTATATGCTGGTTCAGGACCTTAGTCAGGTACAGTAAACGTTTTAAACTGGGGAAAACACTTGGTCTTAATTTCAGAACAATATGATTCTTATGCCTATTTTGCTATTGCTTTTGGGTGGGGGGGAATGCAGGTGTATGCAGGAGTATTTCTTCTTGAACAGAAAATTCCAGAAAAATGTGTGAAACGTTTGAGCATGAATACAGTAAAAAATGCTTTCCTTGTGAAGGAAGTAATGGGGAGATAAGGTGGGCCAGACTGAAACCCATGCATGTAGCAGCAGAATTAACCATTTTGCCTGGGAATAATGCACATGTGTAAAAATCTAGCAATGGCTGAAGATATATTTAGGTTTCCCCAATGTGTTAGTAACAACAACAGATAGTTCAGGTTTTCTGCCGTTTCCTGGCAACAGCAGGAGTTTTGACTTTCCCCCCATATCCTAGCAATGATGAAAATGTCCTCATTCATTTTTTTTCATTCATTTATTTATAGTTCCATAAAAATCCATAGAGGCAACTGCCTCAGATATAGAACAAGTCAATAATACAATATAGCATATAAATATACATACATAATCAGATAGTCATCATCGTCAAAATTTAAATATTCAGTACAACAAAACTACTGTACAGCAATACATTCCATATATCAAAATAACATATAAAATTACATATACGATCAAAGACCACCAAGATCCTTAATATAGTAATATAAAATCTATTTTCTTAATATATAATACACCTGTATCATAACAGTAATAGCACCTTTTTCCTGAGTATTTATTCCATAGTCCATTGCATTCTAGCAATAGGCAACAGTGTTCATTTAAATATACATTTTATTCATACATTCATTCATTCATTTATTACAGTTAAAAAATCCACAAAGGGGTCTGCTTCAAAATATAGAAGAAGTCAGCAGCGCAATATAACACATAAATATACATGCATAATCAGATAGTCATCATCATCAAAATTTAAAATACAACACAACAAAACTACTGTACAACAATACATTTCATATATCAAAATATCATTTAAGATTACATACATGATTAAAAGACCGCCAAGCCTCTTAATATAGTAATGTAAAATCTATTTTCTTAATATATGATACACCTATATTACAGCAGTGATCACACTGTTCTCAGTATCCCATTGTACTCACAGTCCATGTTCCTTTCTGAGAGAGGAAGTAATGGTGAACTAAGCTGGCTTAAATTCAATCCCATGCACATTTTTGGGTGTCTAAAACCTCCCCAGGTAGGTCATCTGCCATCATGCCAGGACAGGTGCAACAGTCAGTATGTGTAAAAAGCAAACATATAAATTACTGGCGGTGTAAAAGGCCTGTAACAGGCTCTGGAGGCCCCATAGGGTTGTGAGACATGGAGGTTCCCAAATTTTCTAGACAGATGGTGGTGAGGTTGTCAACCTTATGTGCCAGCTGCTCTTTAACCCCAGGAAGATTCCTGGTACCCATTTCTCTTAGAGACTGAGTTGACCCCAGGGCCATAGTACAACTGGAAAAATTAGGTCATTTGAAAAATCCAGTGACCACATAGGGAACTGAACCTGTGACCTTCTGTCTTGTTGCATAGTGCCCCAAGCAACATAAAGTAAAGTAAGTAAAGGTATCCCTGTAACAGACTCTGGAAGCCCATAGGGTTGTAAGATGTTGAGGTTCCCACATTTTCTAGACAGTCGGCTCATAGATGAAGGTGAGGTTGTCAGCCTTACGCACCATCCACCCTTCACCGCCAAGAATTGTCTGATACTCATTTCTGTTAGAGGCTGAGTCAAACCTAGGCCCATAGTGTGGCTGGAAGGATTAGGTAAATTGAAAAAATCTAACTCATCAGGATTTGATCCCACGACCTTCTGGCTTGTAGCATAGTGTCTCAACCAACCACGCTACCACATGCCCCTGCCCCAAGCAATATACTCATACCATACCATATTAGCCAGCACATAAAATGTGCATTTCCTCCTAAAGCTACCTCATAAGATCATCCAGTAAGAGTATATATGCTGTACTGACTGTCAATATTCCATTCTCAGTCCCCAATTTACCAGTTCCCGTGCCATTTGTACAGAGGAAGTAATGTAGAAGTTGGCTTGAATGCAACCCCATGTAAATTTTCCTGTGTATGGAACATCCCTGGGGAGGTCCTCTATCATCATGCCAAATTTGGTCAGAATGGGTGGAGCAGGGTGGAAATGTTAAAGAACAAACAGCCACATATGTTCATTCATTCATTTCATTCATTATACAATGTATATCATAAACAGTATTTTGATTGTAATGAAACTGCAGTCCAAGCTACAATACATCCTTAAGGAAATGTGAATATGAAGATTAGTTCAAATAAATGTATTATTTAATATTTTTACATAGCAAATTCTTTCATCTAGGTAGATATGAGTGATATAGTGGATTATCTGCTGTTTTAAAGTGTGTACTGTGGCTGTTTTTCCCTCCATTAAATTTTGGATAATTGAATGTCTGCCTTTCTCTGAAATATTTCATGATCACTTCATCTGAAATCCTTTCTAATTTACTGATTATGTGAGTCTTTCATCCCCCATTCGACACTAGCTATCATCTGTAAAAGCATACTTGCCCTTCCATTAGGCACCATGTTATGAAGACATGTAGGATGTGTTTTAGAATGTCATACTTGGTGAAGGCGAGTGGTCAGTTATATGCTCCACCTAAAAAAAAAGGTGATAAAAACAGGGTATCTAACTATAGACCTATTTCCATCTTGACATCTATAAGTAAAATATTTGAGAAGGTAATGTATAGTAGTTTATTAAAACATTTAAATGACAACAGCATATTAAGTAACCATCAGTTTGGATTTAGAGAAAAACGGGGGACTGAAAATGCTATTTTTAGACTTATTTCTGGAATATTAAATTCACTAAATAATAAAATGCTAGTCAGTGGGATATTTTGTGACCTGGAAAAGGCTTTTGACTGTGTTAGTCATACAGTATTACTTAATAAATTAAAGTATTATGGAATAAAGGATAAACAATACAACCTATACAAATCATACCTACAGGATAAATTTCAGAGAACTACCATTTATAATGGAACTAACAATAAAAAAGTATATTCAGGATGGCCTAAAGTAACTAATGGTGTTCCACAGGGGTCAATACTGGGACCTCTTCTGTTTATAATATATATAAATGATTTACCCAAGATATTGGAGGCAAAAAGTACACCTATTTTATTTGCAGATGATGCCAGTGTGTTAATCTCACATGCAAATCCAATTATGTTTAGAAATACAATAAACGAAGTATACAGTTTACTAGATGACTGGTTCAAAAAAACTTAA